GAGCCACACAGGTCGCCCACGAGAATGGGATGGAGCCAGCGTTTAATGGATTCAAGCCTTGTAAGGGCCCAGCATCGCTTCTGAAATAAATAAAGGGACCTGGTCAGTGGCCAACAGCCGAGGCACAGCAGAGGGTGTGGACCCTCAGACTAACACTCAGGATGGCCCTGTGACCATCAGGATCCTTCCCAGAAAGGCTGCTCAGACCCCCAGGACGGTCGACCCCTCCTGAGCACTGGCTGTCAGGGCTGTGGGGGCCAGCAGGGCACAGCCTTCAGCAGGAGGAGAAAATGGGTCATTCTCTTTTATTTATTTATTTATTTATTTATTATTTATTTGCTTTTTGGGTCAAGCCCAGAGATGCTCAGGGGCTACTCCTGGCTCTGCACTCAGGAATTACTCCTGGCAATGCTTGGGGGACCATATGGGGTGCCAGGGATTGAACCCGGTTCAACCACATGCAAGGCAAAAGTCCTATTCACTGTTCTATCACTCCGGACCCTGAGACTGGGTCTAAACCGGAGTCCTGGCCCTCCATGACCCCCCGTCATTCGGGATCGTGAAGGCATCGCTACTTCTTTTCAACTTCAATTTCTCCTGGAGCCTTTCCTTGCCCAGTTGCCTCGGTCAGCACTTCCAATCCGAGCAAACAGGAGCTAGCACAGGTGCTGCCCTTATCTGGCTCTGAGTCAGAAGGGGAGGCTTCAAGTTCTTTGGTGGTTGATTATGTGTCAGCTGTGAGTTTGGCATCCCTGCCATTATTTCATTGGAAGTTTGTTCTCTCTATACCCATTTTATTGGGAGTTTTTAAACATAGAAGTTTGTTGAATCCTACTTTTTTTCACCATTTGAGATGATCATATGATTTTGTTTTTTATTTTGTTGAATATGCTATCGCATTTTTATGTACATATGTTGGACTATCCTCATATGCCTGGAACAAGTCTCTGTTGGTCCTGATGTCTGGCTCTTGTGCTATATGGTTGAATTTGGTTTGCTAGCATTTTATTAAGCATGTTTAAATCTATGTCCATCAAAGATATTGGCTGAAGTTGTTTATTGTGATGATTTTGTCTGCTTTCGAATCGAAGTTATGTTAGCATCGTAAAATGTGTTTGAGAGTCCTCCCTCCTTTTCAATTTACAGACTGAATTGTGAGGGGAACATCCACTTTTGTTTGAAAGTTCAGTAGGATTCACCAAGAAGTCGACTGGTCCTGGGCTTTGCTTTGAGGGAGTGTTTTAAATTTCTCTTTCAATTTCCTTACACATTTTTTTTTCTCAGGTTTTATGTTTCTTCTTTAATGAGTCTTGGAGTGTAACATGTTTTGGGAAATTGCCCCTATCTCGTAGACTGTCCGATTTGTTGACACGTGATTATTCGTAATTCTCTGTGATGACCCTTTGTGGGCTGGAGCGATAGAACAGCGGTAGGGCATTTGCCTTGCCGAGCCAGGTTTGATTCCTCTGCCCCTCTCGGAGAGCCTGGCAAGCTACTGAGAGTATCTCACCTGCGTGACAGAGCCTGGCAAGCTACCTGTGACATATTCGATATGCCAAACACAGTAACAAGAAGTCTCAAAATGTAGACGTTACTGGGCCCGCTCGAGCAAATCGATGAACAACGGGAGGACAGTGACAGGATAGTGACCCTTTGTATTTCTGTGGAGCTCACAATTCTCCACACAGATTTATGTCCTATTGTCTATTGGCATCTTTATCTTAGAATTAAGACTAAAATTAATAAGCATATAATATATAATTAATCTGGGGCTGGAGCGATAGCACAGCAGTAGGGCGTTCGCCTTACACGCGGCCAACATGGCCGACCCGAGTTCGATTCCTCTGCCCCTCTCGGAGAGCCCGGCAAGCTACCGAGAGTATCTCGCCCGCACGGCAGAGCCTGGCAAGCTCCCCGTGACGTATTCGATATGCCAGACACAGTAACAACAAAGTCTCCAGTGGAGACGTTACTGGGCCCGCTCGAGCAAATCGACGATCAACGGGAGGGCCTTTACCTTTACCTTTACCTTACCTCCTGCTTTCTCTCTGAAACTATGTTCTGTCTGTTGGTGATCCTTGCAGAGTTTCACTGTGTCACAAGAATGTGATGTTTCCCACAGCTGAGATTATGGGAACTTGGCTGTACTCTGTTTTCAGATGCCAGAAAATTTTCTAAGGATTAAAGATAAAATATTTCACCCGTTGTTAATGTGTCCTTTCCAACAAGCCAGATTCCATTTTGAAGTGTTTTCTAGAATATTCTGAAAGGATAGAAAAGTCAGTTTTGCTAATTCCTTATGAATGTGACAAAAACTGTCACCAAAATTGTCTGTTTACTGCAGTGTGATCCTAGTTAGGAACGTTTTCTCTACTGTGTTCCTCACCTCTTCCTCCCTCTGCCCTCTTCCTTCCTCCCTCCAACTTTTTTTTCCACCCCTAACTCCCTTTCCTCCCTTCCTAACACCTTCCCTCCCTTTCTCTCTCCCTCCTCTCTCCCTCCTCTCTCCCGTTTCCTTCCTTCCTTCTCTCCCTCCCTCCCTCCCTCCCTCCCTCCTTTCTTTCTTTCTTTCCTCCTCCCTCCCTCCTTCCCTTCCCTTCCTTCCTTCCTTCCTTCCTTCCTTCCTTCCTTCCTTCCTTCCTTCCTTCCTTCCTTCCTTCTTCCCTCCCTCCCTCCCTCTTTCTTTCTTTCTTTCTTTCTTTCTTTCTTTCTTTCTTTCTTTCTTTCTTCCTTTCTTCCTTTCTTCCTTTCTTCCTTTCTTCCTTTCTTCCTTTCTTTATTTCCTTTCCTTCTTTCCTTTTTTATTCCCTAAGTCAATTTTGACAAACTATGCTTTGATATTTGATGCAACTGTAGATTCCTTCTTTAACTTTTTTTGTTTCACTATTAGAGCTTTACAAATATTATTAGAGCACCATGATTTACAAAGTTATTCATAGTTGAGATTTCGACACCCTCTGTTCCAGCACCCACCCACCCACCCACCCACCCACCACCAGTGTCTTCTCCCCACCAGGGTTCCTGGCTCCCCTCCCAACTCCCCCTCCATCTCTAGCCCCCAACCTTGACTGACATAATAAAATTAGAGATTTGATTAGTTGATTTGATCCCGGCTATTGTGATAATATCACACATTTTATTATGTTTTACTGACTTATTAATGGAAGAAATAAGTTGTAATATCCATGCTATTTGTGGTCATAAACTCTCTGAGTTACAACCCTGTCTGTATTCTAGGATACTAGAGAGAGGACGCATTCGATCTTCTGTTTTTTATAAATGATGAATAGGTTTGGTCACTAATTTGTTTTCACTAAGCATTTAAATCTAAAACTTGTGTCCTTTTATGCATATTTGGATATTGGTCTTAGAAAAACAAGAGGGCTACTTAGAAATAGGAATTTCTGCAGGCTGAAGCTCAGTTAATGATGAATAGGCCACCGCTTCTCTGATATAACTGCACTCACAAATCACAACTGACTGTCTCGTGTGATCCAGGGAAGGATGGTGAGTTCAGGGTAACGTAAAACACATTTTACATAAATATTCCCTCTTAGTAGCTAAGTGAAAATATAGTTAAACTATAAACATCGGCATTACTAGCTGGGAAATTTGTCCGGTGGCCTTTAGATATCAGCAGATGTATTTTCAACATTAAATTGTTACTGGATACAATTTGATGTTTTTATGTTGCTGGGCTGCTTCTGAAGTTGGAGGCAGATCATGCTGCCCCGTGCTGCTCACAAGCCCCTAGAGTGGGCTCTGACGAGGGTTTTTGTTGGGCCGGAGGGCTGCTTCTCTCGAAAACGACTTCCTCACTTCGTGGTGGAATTTAGTTTTAAGGCAAATTGGACTCAAGACATCTCAGAAATTAAGCAAGATATCAAGAGCTCTAGACACCTCAGAAATCAGACAAGGTGCCAGCTGCTCGTGTGAGGAAAGATGCAAGAAGACGCCTTCTCGGGCACCTGATGAGCCCGGGGCACGTGGCCCCTTCCACGCGTGGAGCCGCCACGGGGGATAAATCCACGTCCCAAGCCACCTGTGCAGACTGCAGCTGGCTGACAGCCTCTGAGCTTCAGACCGAGCGACTCTTGCTCCAGCCTTTTGTGTGCTGTGCCTGCCCGCCCACGGCACCGTTGGGTCCTGTGACCAACCAGCTTTGTGGCTGTTAACAGACACGACAAGAACCTGCATGATTTTGCCCCCTCTCCCCGACCTTTAACGCCATTGCTGTGAGCAGCTCCTGTCCGCCACTTGCGTCTTGGGCAGGATTCTGACACGATTTCCATCCGTCCGATGCCCAGCCCCGCGGGCCCGTTGTTTTCCCAGAGCGACTGTTAACTGTCCCAGCCCAATTCTTAGGACACCCCCTTTTGGCAGATGCTTTCAGTTATGGCTTTCATCTCCTCTTGAAAAGATTTGATGGTGAGTTTATCAAGAACCTTCCGTGGCTTCCCCTAAGACAGCGGCATTCTGCAGTATGTTTTGGGCTATTTTGGAACTTCCTAGGAAATTTCGAGAGCTGCGTTTCCTGGGAACGAGGGGCTGAGTCCTGTGGCTCGCAGACTTCCGGCCACCTTGGCCTGCACTTGGCCCAGGGATGGGGGCCCCGTGGGAGGGCCGGGGGCAGCGTGGAGGTCTCCTGCCCAGAGGGTCTGTTTGGTGTCTGGGGGCGTGAGCAGGGCCGGGTGCAAACACTGGCTCTCTCCAGGGCATCTTCAGCAGCCACAGGCCGCTGCCTCTCAGAGCACACAGTTGCATTTCTCGCTGGCGTCGTCTCACAGGTGCTAGAGGGTCCGACTGTGACCTGCAGTCCATAGGGACACCCACGGTCCATGTATTCCCGTCTGGCTCTCGGCTCAGATGGGCGTTCTGTGCAGGGCCTGTGGCCCCGTGTGTTGCACCCCACCCCACATTGGGTGTTCTCCCACGCAAGCAAGAGGTCAGGGCTGCCGGGAGCAAGGCCTTCGTCCCTTGACCATGTGTTTCCTTTCTAGAATATTCCTCTCGGAGGAAGGCAGCCTCAAGATACAGAACGTGACCAGGTCGGATGCTGGGCCCTACACCTGTGTGGCTGCTAACCAGTTTGGCATTGCGCGGAGCTCGGGCACGCTGATGGTGAAAGGTACTGGACCTTCTTCCCTCTGCCTGACGGACAAGGGGGGGTGTATGCATGGCCCCTCGTCCCTGAGAGAGACCTAGCTCACCCATGCATGCAGTTCATGGCACCAATGGCCAGTGGACCAGGGACCTGCAGTGGAGGCACTGTCTGGGAAATTAGACAAACCTGCACCCAAAAACACGTGACTCTCTGAGATCCCTCTGTGTGGGGCGGGGGCTTTGACACAGCCAGTGAGCAGGGATTCTCCTCATTAATTTCCCCCGCACTCTCATCTAGCAGGGAACGCCATCCTCCAGAGAGCGCAGCTGAGCACATAACCACTTACAGCTCCTCAGGAGCCCAGGGCTGCCCCAGGGAGGTGCCGGGCCTCTTGCATAATTTCTTATAAGCAGTTAATATTGAAGAGAAAAATGAAATCTGAGTGTCTGTAGTGAGTCGTGATTGTATTCCCATCGCGGGAAGCAGATAAACTCACCCAGTTGGAATGGGAAAACTTCAACGCCGTTCTCGTAAACTCACACGTGTCACCTCCAAAGTGCCCCATCTCTCGCCGAAGGACCATTAGGGCCAGGAGCACTGCTGCCCCACTCACCTACTTTGCTATGTCGAATCTCAGCTTGTAAGACTAGGATGTGGACTGGCAGTCATGTCACTCCTATCATTTCATTGCCTCTCAGATGATAAAAATGGCTCTCTTGATAAAATAGTTTGAGCAGCCAATTAAGCCCAAATGATTAAATCTAGCAATTGGCACTTTATCATGATTTCTATTAAAGTAAATATATTCGATAAAATGTCGGTAACTGCTGCACTTCAACTCTTCTTTAAAATGTCTTATGGAAAATAAACACCCACCTTTATCCCTGATGACAACTCTGTCAGCTGACGTTTGTCTGAAGTGCTCGGGGCATCTGACGGATGGAAATCATGTCAGAATCCTGCCCAAGACACAGCGGGAAGCGTTCACCTCCTTAGGCCTATCCTCAGATTCCAGACACAGGCAGACTTAGTGTTTCAAGCATGAGGTGCTCTTTCCCTGATGATTTTTTGGCCATACCTGGAGCTGGTTTACGTTTGATGAGGAAGCAGGTCTGCTGGAGGGTGGGGGGGAGGGTGGGGTGGAGGGGGCGATGTGTCACCTCGTTCCAAATTAAGAAGACACGAGCAGCCTCCCTGCCTTCCTGGTGCTGCATTAAATAAAATATGGTGGCGGATGAAGAGGCATCACCAGTAGCTCCCCCAGAACTGAGAAATCTGGGGAAAGGAAAGAAGAATAAAGGAGAGACAGCAGCAGCAGAAACAGTTTCTCCAGGAAGGTTCCTGTAAAATCCCTGCTTCTGAGCCAGACCTGAGGCTGACGTCCGGGTACAGGGACCCTTTTATCCCAGAGACAGAGGGAACAGACCTCGGCCGAGGGAAGGAGGCAGATGGGTTGTTTCCTCAGCTGGTTCTTGTCCTGTGCACCGTGATGCTGAAGGCCCATAGTTAACGAGGGGATGGAGGAAGTCGCAGAGGCAGGAGCAGTGAGCGAAGAGCTGCAGAGCCCGGCCTGGCGCTGGCGGAAGCGAAGAGCCTTGGAATCCAGGCCTCAGGCTTGCTAGAAACGGTCCCACTGGGAGGGCCGATGGAGGGTCTGCAGCTGGGTCGCCCAACACAGATGGCGGTTCCCAGTCTGCCCAGGTACTAAGAGCAGGTCCGGGGGGCTCCCTCATCTAGAATGCAGTAACCTGATGTACCTGTGAGCCCATTTTCAGGTTTCTTTGTTGGGTAGTAAAGGTAAAGGTAAAGGCCCTCCCGTTGATCGTCGATTTGCTCGAGCGGGCCCAGTAACGTCTCCATTGGAGACTTTGTTGTTACTGTGTCTGGCATATCGAATACTCTCGGTAGCTTGCCGGGCTCTCCGAGAGGGGTGGAGGAATCGAACTCTGGTCGGCCATGTTGGCCACTTGTAAGGCGAACGCCCTACCGCTGTGCTGTAGTGAACTGGAATTAAGACCAAGCCACAACCACCTCACCTTCATCTTTTAGTTTTTTCTTTCCATTCTGTTTTTTTGTTGCTGTTTTTGTGCCAGCGGTGCTCAGGGCTTAGTCCCGGCTCTGCACTTAGGGGCCACTCCTGGGGGTGGGGGTAGGGGGTGGGAGATGCCAGGTTCCCTCTGTGTGTGCCCACCTTGCTGTGCTCTCTCCTCTCTCTCCAGCCCAATCCCTTCACCCCCGCCCCCCCCGCAGTGGATTATTTGTTTATTTATTTATTTTTATTGATTCACTGTGAGGTACAGTAACAAAGCTTTCATGTTTGAGTTTTGATCACACAGTCATTCAACACCCACCCCTTGACCAGTGCACATTATCCGCTACCAAAAATCCCCAGGATCCCCCTCCTCCATTCCATACCTCCCCCTGCCTGTGTGCCAGAGAACTTGCACAATACACTCTCGATTTTAGTAGTCCCCTTCGATATTTCGAGACCAGACCCACCACCACTCATACCTGCCGAAAAGGCAATGCTAGACAATGTGTTTTGTATTGCTGGTTATGGATACAATACAATGTCTCGTGGCTGCATGCTCTAGGAATTCTGAAATTTTAAGAATTAGGGTCTGCAGAGATCTCTGCAGCAAGTTGCTCGGGCGCAAGGTTCGTTTGTGTGTCTCTGGATCACGGCTGTGGGGGAGCTTAAGTAGACAGTGGCCGGGCTTTGCATCATCTCAGAGTCTCATCAGGGCAGGGGGGAGGAGGACTGCCCACTCCCCCCCTGTCCGGTGAGCCCTGGCGTTTGACGCCACCCCCGCTCGTACCTGGAGCTTGTTGCTGACTTCTGGAAAATGGCGGTCGCCGGAGTTCTTAGGGGGCAGGTGGAGGGATGGCACCTGCCCCTGTCTGGATCAGCCCAGCGAGAACGGCCTATTGCAAAGTCCAGGGTCATGCGAGGTTGGTTTGCGTGTCCCCTTCGCTTCTTCGTGCTCCTGGGACACCTTCATCTTCTTGGCTGGAGCTGGTCCACCTATTGATTCTCCCTGCTGCACCCAGGTGCTTCCTCTTGAGCGGAAACCCAAAGAAGAGAGGGCGGCAGTGAGCTCTTGTCTGTGCCCGCCAAGCATGGAGCATCGGCTCAGAGCCTGCGGGCACGGACCCTCCCCCGGCACCCCCTGGGCAATGCTTGGGCTTTTCTCCTGGGCCGCCCTGTGCAGCCAGTGTCCCAGGGGATGAGCAGCTGTTTTTCCATCCCCCGGGGGCTGGGGGCTGTTTCTTGCAGGCAGACTCAGGCGGGTGTCCCGCTGGACTGTGGATAGAAGTCCTCCCTGGTCTCTGACCTTGTGCCAAGGCGGCTCTGCGGGCACTGAGGGCGTCTGGCCACTGCCTCCCTCAGTTGTATCCTGCATTCGCCATGAGCTGCCTTGTTCCTGAGGGCCTGGAGGTCTGGGGGTCTGGGGAGGCGTAGCTCAGCCTCCATGCGTCTGCTAGCTCCCTCTCCGGGGGTACGCAAAGGCTTCGCTGCCAAGGAGGTATTTTTTTTAAACACTCTCGGCCCAGTAATAGCACAGCAGGTGTGTGCCTGGCATGTGGCATGAGTTCAATCCTTAACATCCCACACGGCCCCCAGGCTGATTCCTGAGGGCAGGGCCGTATCCTCGAGCACCACAGGGTGCAACCCAAAAAATATTTTAGAAAAAAGATCGAACGCTTTCACCTGGGAAATAATCTCAGTGGTGCTCACGCAGCTCAGCTATTTATCTGACTCTTAAAAGCACACCAATCCGTGTGTGTGTGTGTGTGTGTGTGTGTGTGTGCGCGCGCGCGCACATGAATGCATGCATGCACACGCCCACTTTCACATTTAACTGTCATCATGCAGCCAAATAGGATTTTATTTCTCAAACCAGAGTCAGCGTGTAGTGACCTTCCTGGTAATCGGCTGGTAAGGAGCAAATGAGAAATTTCAGTAAAGCCGATAAAAAACAATCCCCTCTCTTTGAATTTACTTATCAGCCTCAGTCATGCGAGAATGCCCTTGTTAGATAACATGTAAAAAGATAATAGTTACAAGAGGAAGATATTTCCCAGCTTAGTTTTTAGCTGATAGGGCTTATCTGTGGGAGAGGAATCTGGAGTCATCCGGCGGTGCATGCCGGGAGATCCGATCGCGCTCCTGCGGCAGGGAAGGCAATTTCCGTTCGGAAGCGTTGCGAGGGTAATTAGCCCCGGTCTCTCGAGCCCCACGCAGGCTGAGAGCCGCGCGGTGCAGGAGCCGGTCCCCGGACCCCAGCCGGGCAGGGCGCACGCCGGGCAGCTGGAGGGTCTTCGTGGCTGAGTGCGTGGACTTCGATCATTCCGAGAGCATCCACCAAGAGGTACATGAAAATCACATCAGAGGGGAAACTATTTGATCTGGCATTTGGAAAATTATTAAAAAGCAGAGTAACAGCAGGCTATAAAAATGATCTTGTTTGCAGGCAACATTTGTTTGTGTTCCCCTCTGGAGAAGTTTTGGATGTTCAATTATAGGCCTCATTGCTTCAGCATTATTTTCAACTGAAATGTCGGAACTTGGAAAAGCATATCTAATGTGCAAATTAAGTTTATTGCTGCTCATTTAGTTGTTTATTCTTTGTGATAGAAGTCTTTATTATAGCGGCACACAGAGTGGCCCATCCGTTCTCCCCAGCAGAATGAGGGCACGCACCGGTACGGCTCCACGGCCGCTCCGAGGGGCCCAGACAGGGAGATAATTGGAGGCTTTCTGGCTATAAAAGGCAGTTTAACGGATTTGAGAAGCCGAGCCCAGCTTTCTGGAGACGCCGGCTTTATTGAGTCAACCCGAAGTACAATTTCAGAGAAATGACAAGCCAGGTCGGATCCATCTGCCGAGCGCCCCACCCCCACCCGCAATCACGGCTGGAGGGACGTGTCCCGGCGCTGCCTGCGGGGCCTGCGGCGTCCACCGATTCTCTGCAAAGTGCAGGTTAGAGCGTTTCCGTAGAAGAGAAAGATGCTGATTTGAA